CCCTATGGAGTGGGTTTGCCCTACAGCATTTACCTCACTGAGAAGAATAATAGGGTTTTACCCCCCTGATGTAGCAGCTTATCTTCATGAAACCTTAAAGGAACTTAATGTTTGAGACATAGATCCCCAGCCAATTTGACCAAAACTGGCTTCAAAAGTTACTACAGTTGAGAGTCAGAGAGAAAGGCAATGTGAACCCATATACCTAGTTTTCTCAGAAATCCACTCAAAAAATTCTATAGTTAATATATGAACACTAGGAACTCATTTGTTCCCAGCATAGTACCATTAGACATAAAATGGCATACTGCAATTTACTGCATACTTTTAGTACAATCCTGGCTTTTCTGAAGCTACCCTCAGGCACGGTTTCCTCAAAGGAACATCCAAATGTTACGCTAGAAGATAAAACAGCAGGTATGGTGTAGAACCTAGTCTTTAACTGCTAGTTCCATTTGAGGTCATTGGCATTGTTATTCTCCTGTTTACCCAAAAACATAAAAAAAGCTACCATGCTGCCTTCTGTTAAGAGTGTCTTCCAGAGTTTCTTTTTTGGTCTGGAATACAAAATGGAAAACTATAGAAAATTTTACAAAGTTTAAGTATGCCTAAAACATCCACATACTTATGCAGAAGGAAAGCATTATTATAAAAGGGAGGCTGGGGGGAGGAAGGAGTATATATTACAACTTACTTGAAAAATAACCTATAAAAACAACAGCTGTTTCCCACCACACTTTTCCCACGTTTCAAAATTTTGTTCCAACCTAAGACAATTAGCTCAGTTATCTACATTTTTCACGTAGTCAGAAGTTCTGAATGTTCTAAACACAAATATTGAAACATTTCATTTGAAACATCTGAAATATTGAAACATTTCATTTTTTAAATTCTCAAAATCAGTCAAGTGTTTCAACACTCCCAAGTCAAAATGTTACATTTTCATGGCATACTCTGAAAGAAGACATTTAGGATGAATTAAAGCTGGTATTTTTGCCTGCTTGAGCTCTCTCAATAGATTACAAAACAAAAGGACTGCAAATAAGCTTTTGGTGCAACTCTGTAACCTTCACACAAAAAATTACATACAAATAAAAGGGAGGCAAGCATCACTGGCAGACTAAATGCCAGCAGAAGTAATTCGGCATAATATTTATATATACATATATGTATGTGTGTGTACACTATATAACAATATACTATTATGTCATATAGCTTAACTATTCAAGGAGCCAATCAAGAATAATTCACTAAAAGCCAGAATCAAATGCATGATTTTGGCAGTTTCATTTGGAACCACAGATATAGCCGTTTCAGTGCAAAGACAGAGACTATACAGTGGAATATAAACTACAACAGAGGCATTCAACACTTGCAAGGAAATGGGCAAAGCAACATGGATTGTATGCTACCTGAATCAGAATCAATAATAACTCTCCTAAAAAAAAAATGTTATGCTTTCTTGTTTCAGCTTTTATTACATATTCTTTGAAAGAGACTTTGGAAGATGGTGCCTAGTCACTATCTCTGTCAATGTTTAATATAAATCCCTTGCATAAAATTATAGAGATCTCTCTTAAAATTCTTTACAAATCTAGTTAAAAATTTTGTTCTGTTACCTCCATTATAGCTGTTCCAGATGCTGCAGCTCTCATCATTGGCTTAATTAAGAAACCACCTCTCTTGCTTAAACTTTCTTTTTCTTTCTACTTTACACTCTGATGCATGTCTAACCATATCCTCTTATCCTTTGCTTTGCTGCACTAAATGGGTTATGCCCTTCTTAACATTGTCTCAAAAACCAGCTTTCTGTTTTCTTTATCTTTCTAATACTCCTTCTCCTGATTCAGTTAAATTGATCTTTCTTAAATGCAGACATCTAGATCAGAATAGCTGAGGGCTCATTAGGGTGTACTGACATTAATACTTCCCTGAAAATACAATCCTAAGAAGGGGCAAACAAAGTGTTGTCTTTTGTCACAGCCACATCATGCCGGTGGCTTATGGCCAAAAACAGACCAGGCAATATTCATTTTATTCATTGTGCCGCACCACTTTATTTGCCTATGGGGCACTGAAGTACATTGTCACACACATTGTTGAACTGGTTTAGGATGAACTATCACTTCCTTTCAAAGCAATTGTTCTCAGTCAAATCACCAGATTTAACTTTAGAAAGAACTCTCGGTGAATTCTACCTACAGATCTTTACTGAGCTACTGTTTCTGTTTTGTAATACATCTAACCAACCCAGGTTAACACAGGAAATGTCTCTTCCTTTTTCCTTCGTGGGACCTGCAAGAATTCCACAGAGCTTCAGAAATCTCTTCTACAGAGCTCTAAGTACTTTTTCCTGTAAGGTGGCTACAGTGATGTGACATTCCTCCTGTGACCCCACTACATCTTATACTTGCTACAGCTTATCTCTATAACCACATACCTAAACAAGTACTCCTCTGTAATCTCAGAGGTTTTTGTTAACATGAATTTCAGGCAGCTAAGCTCACAACTGTTAAAATACAAAACCGTGGGAAGAGCCATCACCTACTTCATCATTTCAAAATTATGATTTCCTCTAGTTTCCTACTGAGCCATTTCCTGATGAACTTTATCTAGCTACAATGCCTGCGCCCCAGCATAATAATTCATGAAGTCCCATGCTTATTATACTACTAGGAGACTGTTGGTTAGTATGTTTCTTTAAGATCAGAAAAAGTTCAGAACAGTCTTCTGTTGATGGGAGAAGAATTGTTATTATAGTTTCACAGTCTTCCTCCTCCTAACTGGGAGGTATTCATGCATCTGTATCTGATACAGAGGTAAGACTCAGGTAAGTGAACCTCAACAAGATCACAGATTCAAAAGAGCCAGATGACATAAAAACAGTATCCCTTTATTATAACATTTGTCTGCAGTTTAGTCCTTAGGATAGGGTTTGTTGCAGAGGAAATATCCACTCTGAGGGAAAGCATTTTATGTATAAATATATAGAAGTGCAATCTTTAAAAAAAATCAAAAGAAAAAAAACAACAGAACAGGACAAAGGGACAACAGAAGCTACTGCATGTAAAAATAGCTTATTTTGATGAATAGTAGTAAACCTAAGAGAAAAATGTATGTTGCTTTCAACTCACCATCCAGAGCATTTAAGTCTGTATAAACAAATGTACCTTATAATTCATGTCCTAATTCATGAGAGAGTTTAAAATCAAGAACTAGTATCCAATTAGAGAAGTTATCCATATGCTTAAAAATGTGAGAGTAATTATAAATCAGCATTTAAAAATGCACGTATGGAAAATGTAAGCTTAAGAAGTTTGCTTAACAAAATCCAACTGAAGAGTGAGCCAGTTGATACAAGCCACCCTACTACACAGGATGGCCACAGTATTCTTAGTGGTTGGATATAAAGGGAAATGAAGACCTAAGATTTTTCGTGTAAGAACACAAATGTTTTCTCAGATTTTTTTTCACTACTAACCAAGAGAAAACTTAAGCTTCAGTATAAACTGTAATCTTCCATAAACTGAACACAGAATTACCTATACTACAAGATGTAAAAGAACAACTGTATAGCCAACAAGAATAAGATACCACAGCGAATTTGTCAATATAGTTAACAGCTTTTTGAAACATAGGAACCACAGAAGGTATGATATAACAGGTACCCCAATGGGAGTGGGTTTTTAGAGTTTTTTCTGAAGCATCACTTTTTTAAAGTCTTCTGGGAAAAAAAAAAAGATTTTACTAAAAAAACCTCGATTGCTGTTAAGTAAAATAACTTTTCTGTAGCAATTTTTGAGTGACTGTCAGAGAAGGGCCCAACAAAAGTAAGTATTCACTAAGTCCTACCTAATTATAGTCTAATCCAGCACTCCACTTACTTCTCCTATCAATTCCAAACAGGTGAACACCTCTATAATTTTAATGATTGTGAAGAATTAAGTACACTGGTCTGAATAACTGCTAATTATTCTGTTAATTACTTTAATTTTAAAAGGAGGATGCAATGGAAATGACCTGCTGCCGCTTCACAAAGTTATTGCAATTCTGTAAGGTTGAGGAGACAGTGATTCCCTAATTCCAGTGATTTTTGACAAAACTACTTAGGGTGTAGCAAGAGATACCCAGCAAAATGTTTTTCTCCTCCTGAATCACAGCAGTTTCAAACTGGTGGTCATTTCCAGAGATTAAATGCCCATATATGCCCCCATGATATTTAAAGTCATATCTAAGTCGCAATGCTGAGACCAGCAGGACCACACGGTGAAGAAGCAGTTCTTAATTTCACTGTCTGAGGACTTCTGCTTCCTGTGTTGACCATCCCTTCCTACTCTCAAACAGTAACAATCATCTGCAACCAAACAGGGAGTAGAAGCAGTAAATCACCTACAGAATGCAACCTGCAGGACCACCTTCCACCAAAGAGAGATGACTCATGACTGTCCACACAAATGCCTAGAGCACAGGCCTGTAAATTTTATTGCATAAATGTAAAGATGCTCATAGGGAGAACTAACCTGAAGAACTGCCCACAACCTGACAAATCATACCTATTTTGTGTATTACAGATATCTAAGTCCATGCACCCTGTGAAAAGTGGAATAGCATGACTGCTTTTAGCTATAAACTCAATAGGATTCCTGTCTACATCTCCCAAGAAGCATACTCTACAGAAAAATAGAAATCCCAAATTCCAGTGCACTGCCAGAGCCTAGAGCTACCCTGTGCTACCTCTGAGTCATGCCTATAGACTTTTTCTATATTCAATGCCCAGGAGAACTACAGAAATCAGAATATAACAATTTACCTGAAACTAAAGATATGAACTAAGGGGAAAATTAATTTAATAATGCCACTTTAGGACCTCTATGGATTATGGCCAGAGTATAAACCCTCAGAGATACATAACTTTGCATTAGAACTTGCCTGCTTGTTGAAGAAAAAAAATCAATCTAGCATTACTTCAAAGCAAATGTAGTCAGAGTTCATATACATACCCTCTGCTTCTCAGGGTCAACGTATCGAATGCCAAAATAGTCTTTTTCCAGCAAGCTGTAGTAGTTGCAGATGTGATCTATGAGAAACTGACCTTTAGTTTCCCTCTGTAAAAAGAGAAAGAATTGATATATTATTCTGAGTATTCTGAACTTGCTGTCTATAAATATTAAAAAAATCTAATCAAAGTGTCAAGGAAAATGGCACAGGAAATTTGTCGTTATTCAGATGAGGACAAGGCTTTGAGCATTCATCTTGTCTAAAAGATGCAGGAGATTAGTGATCAATATACTCCCTGCACATTCACAAATTGATTCATTAAGAAAATATCATTACTACTCCTGCCTCAGGAAAACTCATGCTACCCTAGCAGCTGCACACTTATAACATTTCATGTATTACTAGTAACCATATTTCCACTTGATGCTATAATGGCATAACAGATACCCATTTAGATATGGAATTTCAAAACTGTGTGGTTTTTTTGTATCCCCAAGTTTGCAAGCAGTTTTGGCAGTGAGTACCTTACTGGATCTTTATGCAATGCCTACAGCAAGAGAGACCTGATCCTTAATTCCCAGACAGCACTACAGTACAAGGAAGAAATGTTCCAATGACTGAAAGAGATGTTTTCATCTTTGCATTGTCACTGGGTAACTATAGCCTTGAAACTTACTGTACATATGATGTTTAGTTAACAATCTTGTTCTTTATTTCTTCTTTCTTCAATCTCAATACTGTGTTTCATTTCTCCTTAATCTACTGCCTGATATGGAGAACCTACATGAATTTTCACATTTCTTCTGATCCAGCTAATGTGATTTTTTTTTTTCTAATTGTGATGTGTGTAAGTATTAACACCAGGCTAAAGCTGTTCTCCTAAAACAGTCCACTCTGAGCAGACAAAGATGCCTCACTACGTTGCAGTGTCAAGTCTCCACATTTCTTTCCCTCTATCTGTCTACCCTGGTCCTGCGCTGACACGCCTCTGCTGTGGACCAGGTAGTGAGTCTGCAAGACTCTACCCTTTACTGACATGAAACAACTTGAACGTAGCTCTTTAATGTCTACAAAAGAGAAACTACAGAGGATATACAATCACATTGTATAAAAAATTATTTAATTGTTCCTCCAAATGACTTTCTGAAAACTTTAATGCTGTGCCTTATTCAACCTGTCTTTAAGAAGCTCACAGTCAATTTAAACCATAAACAGCACGGCTAGGCAAAAATGAACAGATATGTCCTGTATTTCTCAAGGTACTTTACAAAATTTGACATTGTTATCATCTGCATTTCACATAGGAGCAGCTGAGACGAAAATAGTACCGTGACCTGTTCAAGGTCATACTCTAAAGGGCAGAGGAAGGAATGGCCTCAGGACCACTGCTGCCCAGTGAGACCTACTGCTTCCCACAGAAAAAGTGAGACATGCTTCAGGACTGGAATGCTAGAAAAGAACACAATCCGTGAACTACTGCTCTGTTTTTTTATCTTTGCAATTAATAAAGAATTCTGATGTGGATGCAGTTGCTTGTCCTTTTGCTCCCATCAATGAACAAATAGACTAACTAAATAAAAAGCATCCTCCGTTAAAGCACCGACAGAGAGCTGCATGGCCCTTCCAGTGCGCCGGGGCTCCTGTGGCCATGCCCTTCCCTGCCACATGGACCTTTTCTCCTCCTGAATATTTCTTTTTCCCAGATGTGGGGGGCTCCGCTTCTTTTTCTACTGTGTAAGCCATCTACTTCTGCTACTCCTTTCTTCCTCCACCTTCTATCTCCTATGTATTTACCCCTCACTACGTGTCCTTTACTTTTCCATATGTTACTACCTGCCTGGAGGATATCACTGCCTTGTCTGCACCATGGTATTTCTGTACTTTGTTTTCCTATTTTTAAACAGCCACTTTTAAAGGATGTTAACCCAATTTGTCTTTTTTCTCTACATGCTCACTCAGCCTCATGCTTTGCTTCCTGCACTGCTACCTTTTTCCCTGTAACATAGCTGCAACAGGTTTCCTTCTGCAATTGTTTCTTTCCAGCCTCTGGACATTTAAAAACTGAATTGTTTGCTGTTAAAAGTGGTTAACACATACACTGACATTTTTTTATACTGTAGCCAGTTACAAGTACGGGCATGCTAGTGACAGCATAGAGAAAACTTTCCTCAAAAGGTAAAGTTGATATCAAAGATTAAAAAGTACGAAAAGAAAACTGCCACTCTCTCTGTGACTGACAAAAAAAGGTCTATACTTATACAGTCATATCTCAATGAAGTGTTTTCTAGCGTAAAATCTTAGAAGTGTCTGCAAACTTTTGTGACTATGCAATAAGTAAGACCGTCAAAATATTAAGACAAAATTGCATAGTGACATTTCAATAGAAAGGCAGAAGGAAAAAATTTGAACACAGATGTGAAAGTCAAGTTGCACACAGTTTTAAGATGAATCTACAATGAGCTAAATAGAACTGGGGAATAACAGCTATTAGGTGACTCAAGTACAGTCAAACATGAAAATAGATTTTAGTAACAACAGTGTACAAAAGAAATCCAGTTTTTAAAACACTGGAAATGAGGAAACCAGAATAATATTTTCATCTGACAACATTAGAGGGTGTTACTGGAAGAACAGTCAGTAAATCTGCTAACTTCTATAGGTTCACATTCTAATCCATTCGTTTAACAAGTCCTTTGCTTCACCCACCTAAATAATCACAAAAGTTTTTTGAGTTCTTGAGGAATCTCATAAAAGTCTAGGGCACATAAGGTGTTTTTCAATCCAGCAAACAATGCTCCCTTTCCAAAATGAATTGATGCCCTAGTTTTCTTGCTTGAAAGACAGATGATGGAAACAAACCAAACAAAAAAGAGCAAATGAACAAAAACCTCCGAGCTAAATTCATGCTCTAGGAATCCTTAAGCCCTCTATAGATAAACAAAAGGGACTAGCTAATAACCTCATCCTTGGTTAGTATACACTTCCGTTAATAGTGCTACTCTGTCAGGCTTCAAGTTCCATGTGATTCGTTACCAGATATTAAAAAAGATTCAAGATGGATAAAAGTGGCTAAATAGGCACATACATAATGTAATGAGTGTTCTCACAGGAAATACTGTTCTAAATGCTCCACTATTATGCTTTTTAAATACCTGAAATTTGAAAAAATTCAGATCATAAAGTATTTTCCTCTGTGTATCAATTATGTGGCACAGAGCACCTTAAGTCTGAATTCATAACAGATAGCGTGGCAAGAAGGATGGGCAATGGTTGTTCATTTTGTTTTCCGCAAACAGCATCCATAAACATTTTCTACATTTCTCTAACAATGCACTGAATTCTCCTGAGCTTTAGAATCTGATGATCTTTCTTGTCTTCTGTGTTCTTTGATATACTTATTACATTTTATAGTACAAAAGAATATATTAAAACCAAAGCTTATTCTCATTTGTGAAAGAATATGGATAAATTAAATTAGGAACTGCCAGTCATCCACAACAGAGCACAAGAACGGATTTGGGTCACAGCATAATGAATATAAAACATTGCCTGCAATTTCAGACAGTTGCCATATAGCTTTCTAATTAAATGATCCTTAAAAAAAAAAAAAAAAAAAAAAGAAACAAAAAACCACACCAAAGAAAACCAAAAAACAACCAAGCAAAAACAAACCACAAACCCTCCTATACCAATAAAGTACTTTGCAGCAATTCAAAGAAATATTTTTATGCTACATTTCAGCATGTTTGCCAGAAGATGAAAAAAATGACATTATAAATAAAGCCATTATTTGAAACACTACCAAAAAATGTCAGCAACAGACCACAGGAATCTGAAAGCAAAAGTCAAGTCAGATTTTTAAAAGCTTCACAGTTGAAATCTTTGATAACTATACCATAGTTCACCCAGAATTCATCAACTATGCTCAAATAGAGAAGACCAACCCAGGCAGAAACACGAGTCACAAAAGTGTGTAAGGAAGAGAACCAAAATGTCCTGGATTATAATCAATACATTGTTTTCAATGAAAGAATACCAAGTTAAACAAGCCACTTTTTTCTAAGTCCATTAACTCAAATACAACATCTCAACTGAGACATACTTTTTTCCAGATTTCTGTAACCAATACGCTATGAAAAGTGTTTTTTAAAATGGCCTTAAACAAAGTCCTATAATGTAGCCGTTCCACACACTCACACAGAAACAGGCTTTTGGAGATTCCTATAAATAATTTGAGGAATGACTCTCTGATTTGCTTAGATAAATAGGCAGAGACAAGATGGGTATGTTTTTCCTAAGGCTGCATTTGAATATCTGACCCTAATACCACTAAAATCCCACAACAAACACCAAAACACATGCAAGGGATATAATGCCATGTAAATGACAGAATCCCTGAAGGCAGAAGGTCAACTTGCAAATAGCTGTTAAACTCTGCTTTTTAAGCTGGATCAAAAGTTTTCTTTTCTGTTGAAAGAAATATGCATCAAATTAAACTAGCAGCTGTTGCAAAAGAATTAAGCAGAACAAGGGACGTTCTCCACTCCAATAAAACAAGAAAACATGATCATACAGAGTTCTCCATTGACGGAAGCACAGGACAACCCGAGTTTCTTCCTCAGCTCTGGGACCCGAGTAAGACACTGCAGAGATGCTCCATTTTCACTACCAGACACTATTATTATGGCTTCCATTTCTGCAGCTCTGCAAATTTATGACTGAGTAACCCAATTCCTTGGTGACTCCTCTGTTACGCAGAAACTAATCCAAACAAAGATCTCTGTGGCTCTTGAGCAGTTTCAGTCTAACACAATATCCTAATCTTGCCCTTCCTTTGGGGATTTCTTTTCTTTTTTTATTCCTAGTTTCTTTGTGCAAGTTAAAAAGCAAGGGAGAGTATATCTTGTTCTTCCAATTTAACCCTTCTCCGCTGACATAAAATGAGTCCACAAAACATTTGTGACTGTTTCACAATTCTGAAAGTGAGAGGAAAACCATTTATAGCCGTTTAAGATCTTGCATACAGTGAAATCTCTTCCCTGTTTGCATCTGCTTCACTGTGGAGTTCTGTCTGTTTATCTGAATGTCGTCAGAGGGAAGAGCAAGA